TTTTTTTCTTGTAGTAAGAAAGTAAGATGAACCTGATTATTTTATATTTTCCTTAGTCATTGTCTAAAATTGAGAGCTTTGGAATGCCAAAAAATTAAAACCATGAAGAAGTTAAATGCTGCTTAATGCTGTTGGTTAAATGCTACTAAATGACACTCACCAAAGTTAAGTTAGGTGAAACACTATTACCATTGGAGTTAGAAAAAATGCAGTTCCTTAAATATCATCAGTAATATCAAATATTCACTACATTAGTATTTCAGAATATCATTCACTGTTGGTTTTGGATGCTTTCATTTTTTTTTCTTGCTTTATTTCCAAGGAGTACTATAACATTGTAGAAAATAAGTGTGAAAACATAATGCTGATGAGATTTTTGTTGAGGGGAAAATGAGGAAAAAAATCTCATACAATGAGTGAAATGAGTCAGTCATTCTCATTAGCTATAGTTAGCTGTTTCTAGGGAAACTATACCAACAGTGATGGAGTGAGATTAACCAGATTGTTCCATCTGTACTTGTTCTGCTCTGGTAACTGGAAGTAGCTGAATGAACTTCTCAGTGTCCTGGCAGTGAGAAGTGTTCTTTCAGTCTTTAAGTAGTTGCAGTCACTAGAGTTGGTTAAAGACCAATTGTTGCAGTGGGAAGGAACTTCCTATTGTTGTGTGATACTTGTAATGTTAAATCCTTTAAGTTCTTCCTCTCTTCATGTTTAAATTCAATTGTTGATTAATTATGTGCATTTTATGGACATGTTGTTCATCAGTCAGTTGCTGGAGGTGCAAGATATTCAGGAAAGCATCTGTGCAAGTGGATGGCATTTGGTAGTTCACTGACTAATGTCTCAGTTCTTCACTGCTGTTTAGTTGCCTGTAGCTAAAGGACAAAGCAAGGAGGAAAAATACCATAAAAGGGTAAGAGTCCTTCAATGACTGTTTTGTTAAAACACAAATTTTCACACCCCTTAAAATGAGCAAAACATTTTGTTTTACAAACAACTCTTGTTGGAAAAGTAGAATAAAAATATGATTTAACTGGGTCTTTTTAAATTTATTTTGCACTGCAAGAAAATTATTATATGGAAAGAGCTGATATTGTAGGGAGGAATAGGTGTGTGTGTGTGTGTCTGTTGGTAGCATGTTAAACTTTTATGGGGGTCTTGGGGTGGATTTAGCAGTAGTTTTTATAAAAGGGAGTATTTCTTGCAGTAGAAAATACTAGCACTGATGATAGAGATAGATAGATAGATAGATAGATAGATAGATAGATAGATAGATAGATAGATAGATAGATATAAAAATGGTCCTTAGGTAAGATGCTGTGACTCTGGCATATTTTAATGGTTTGCCAGATAACAGAAAAAATACAGACCTTATGAAGTGTATGTATTGTCAGTGAATTGGTGATGTACTTTTCTGTGTAATGAAAATGTTATATAACAAAATTTGGAAGGCATGTCCAGGTTGGCATTACTGGAGGAGGTACTGAAAAGCCTGTTGGTAGAAACTCTTTTAAGATGGGATAAAATGAGGTTTGTGCCTTTGTATCATCTTGGTTTATGTCTGCTATGTGAATTAGATTCTACCGTATTCAGGTGAGTTTCCTGAAGACAAGATAGGTATGTATTATGGTTCCTTGTTTTTCTGCAGGTAATCATGATTTCACTTCGTGAAGGATGGGAAAATACCCTGGGGTACAGGGATTTTTCTCCCCAGCTCCCTTTAGATCCTCTTCAATAAAGATGATGAAAAAATGACAACAAATCAATCTCATCCAAATGGTTGCAGACAAGTTAAAAAAGGTGACACTAATTCCACATTCTAAGAACATTAACTGCCTTTCGCAGTAAATTATCACAGTGGATATTCATACAAAAATCAGCTGTAAACCAGTAAGTATGAGCTCTGCAGGACATGTTGTGACCTGCTTACTCTAAGGTCACAAACTCTCAAGAGCCTGCAAGAAAGTAAGTGTTTTTCACAGTTTACAAAAGCTAGTTTTCCCACCATTTTTCAAATTGGAATCTGACAAATTATGTCAGTTTTGGCAAAAAGTGTAATCCTTTATATCTCAAAGTGATTTGGCTTTGGCTATGATTTGGACTTAAATGCCAGCTATTGTTATACAAAATATAGATAATAAGCAGACAGGTCTAGTGCCCAGTGGTATTTCCAAGAACTTTTTCTTCATGAGGGATTACCCATATTGTTATCATTAATCTGCTGTAGCCTTGGTACCTTAATAAAGTGTCCTCAAAGATCCTGAAACAAACTGACTAAATCTGGAACAAATTACATGGCTTTTCTTCCACAGGGAATATTAATTCAGCCCTAAATACAAATTCTTAGCTGGGACTCCTTACACAAAATCCTGTTATGCAACCGTCTTGCATGCCAGAAAAAGTATGGCAGCAAGAAAGCAAGATAATCTTTTGGTAAAGCTCAGGTGTAGCAGCAGGCTTCCTAGTTTCTCAGGCTGATGGTTTGAGTACTTCACATACATAAGGTGAGGAGTGCCTTGGTGTCATCTGCTCCAGAACACTGTAAGCCAGAAATGAAACCATCATAATGTGAACTTTCCGTAAGGAAATTTCCTTCTGTTCCTGCTCAGTGAACTCAGTAACAACACCTCTGTGACCTGTCCAACAAGAACAACATTAATCTCTTGAAAGTTACTAATTTTCAAAAGGTTTTTGGGTTTGTTTGTGATCCCCCCATCCTTTGAATTCTCGTACGATATATCTTTGTGTGTTCACTAACACATTGAAAAGACACTTAACATAAATAATACTAATAACATAAATACTGTTGAGAGCACAGGAGCCAAGATTGATATTGCTGATTTTTATGAATGTGACTTCAAAGGTATCCAGACTTTTGGATTTTCTGGGCTTAAATTAATGAGACAGGGTTATTTGTACCGTGTTCTCCCTGGTAACTTGCACTCATCTTGACTTATGCCCTCCTTTATTTCTCTCTGTGGCACAGGTCAGCATTACAGAAAACCTCTCTTATGTCTGTCTAAAGTCATTGTATTGTGCTATTGATTTATGCATGAAATACGTCTATGTTACTGTCCAATGTAAACTAGATTATATAAGGGACATTACCTGAATGTATATTGTTTTCTTAAGGTACGTGATGGTATCTTTACAGTGCTAATGCCAGAACATGTGAAAAAGCAGAGTATGGGTAGCAATAAATAGAGAGAAAAGGGAAATCTTATTGTGTGTCCTAAGTATTGGAAGAAGAAAAACAAGCAGGCGGGAAAGGAGACCAGCCTGGCTAAACAGGGACCTTTGGCTGGATCTCAAGAACAAAAGGAGAATCCATTGCCTTTGGAAGAGGGCGCAGGTCTCTCATGAAGACTATAAAGATGTAGTGAAGTTATGCAGGGAGAAAATTAGGAGAGCCAAAGCAAAGCACAGCTAGACCTCAACCTGGCTACAGCTGTTAAAGATAACAAAAATGTTTCTATAAATTTATTAACAGCAAAAGGAGGATTAGGGAAAATCTCGCTCCTTTATTGGATGCAGAGGGAAACATGGTAACTAAGGATGAGGAAAAGGCTGAGGTGCTCAACGTTTACTTTGCCTCAGTCTTTAGCAGCAGAACTGGCTGTTCCCTGGACACCCAGCCTCAGGAGATGGGAGATGGGGAGGGGAAGAAGACTGAGGTCAGCACAGTTGAAGAGGAGGTGGTCAGAGACCTGCGGCACCACTTGGATGCACACAAGTCTGTGGGACCAGATGGGTTACACCCAAGGTGCTGAGGGAGTTGGCAGATGTGCTCGCCAAGCCCCTGTCCATGATTTACCTGAAGTCATGGCTAACTGGGGGGGTCCCATTGGGCTGGAGGGTGGAAAATGTGACACCCACCTACAAGAGAGGCAAAAAGGAGGATCCAGGAAACTATAGACCTGTCAGTCTGACCTTGGTGCCAGGGAAGGTCATGGAGCAGGTCATCTCGGGTGCCATTAAAAGCCATATAATGGATAACCAGGGGATCAGGCCCAGTCAGCATGGGTTTATGAAAGGCAGGTCCTGCCTGACAAACCTGATCTCCTTCTATGACAAGATGACCTGACTATTGGATGAGGGAGAAGCTTGTGGGTATTATACCTGGATTTTTGAAAAGCATTCGACACAGTTCCCCATAGGATTCTCATAGAAAAACTGGCTGCCCATGGCCTGGAAACAGGCTGCTGGGTCAAGCACTGGCTGGATGGACAGTCCCAGAGAGTGGTGACCAATGGAGTTAAATCCAGCTGGCAGTCAGTCACTAGTGGTGTTCCTCAGGGCTCAGTGTTGGGGCCATTTCTGTTCAACATCTTTATTGATGATCTTGATAAGGACATAGAGTGTATCATCAGTAAGTTCACAGATGACACCGAATTAAGCGGGAGTGTCGATCTGCATGAAGAAGGGAGGCTCTACAGAGAGACTTGGATAGATTGGATCAGTGGGACAACATTGGGGAGGTGTGGCTGGAGCTGTCTGGAAGAGAAGGATCTGAGGGTTCTAATTGACAAGCAGCTGAACATGAGCCAGCAGTGTGCCCAGGTGGCCAAGAAAGCCAACAGCATCCTGGCCTGTATTAGAAATAGTGTGACCAGCAGAAGTAGGGAGGTGATAGTCCCCCTGTACTCTGCCCTGGTGAGGCCACACCTGGAGTACTGTGTCCAGTTTTGGGCACCTCAATACAAGAGAGATAGCAAGGTGCTGGAGTGAGGGCAGAGGAGGGCAACGAAGCTGGTGAAGGGCCTGGAGAACAGATCCTGTGAGGAGTGATTGAAGGAGCTGGGGCAGTTCAGTTTGAGGAGGAGAAGGCTAAAGAGAGATCTCATCACAGCTACCTGAAAGGACATTGTAGAGAGGTTGGTGCTGGTCTCTTCTCACAGGTAATTTGTGATAGAACAAGAGGGAATGGCTTTAAACTGCAACAGGGAAGGTTAAGACTGAACATTAGAAAATAACTTTTCACAGGAAGAGTGGTCAGACAGTGGAATAGGCTGTCCAGGGAGGTGGTGGAGTCACCATCCCTGGATGTGTTTAAGGGTCATTTAGATGAGAGGTTGGGGGATATGGTGTAGGGGAGAAGTTTGTAGAGTAGAGCTGATGGTTGGACGTGATGATCCCAAGGATCCTTTTCTGTGGGAGAGATGAGCACGCACACGACCAATGTGATCAAGCAATGACCGTTTATTACGACCAAGAAAGCCCTTTGATAATGTTCTCCCGCACATGTGAGTAACACGCAGTACAAGTCCTCAAGATTGGACAGTTAACTTAGCCTGCGCTTTAAACCTTCATATGACTGGATAAAAAGTGCCACATCAGCCTTGCCAGGCTTGTGTAACTTCCTCTTCCGTCCCAACCCCTTCTGGGGGTTGTTTGTCTCGTCGAGTTTCTCCCCCCTCATTCAGGGTCACATCCTTATCGTGTGAGCTCGGCTGAGGCTCTTATCAGTCTTGTTCTCATGCAGGATTGCTCACATGTCCATTCTCTCACAGAAAGTCCTCTAGTATCCCAACACTTTTCAACCTGAATGATTCTGTGAAGAGCTGCTGGCAAACCATACTGAGAGGAGGGACTAGTTTATTTTTTGTGTATGACAGAGATATTGGTGGACTTACATTTAATACTGTACTTATAAAGACAAAGTATATGAAATACTAAAGGAGAATCTAGTTTAACTAGCTGGGGGCAAAAACTATTGTCTCCATCCCTTTATTCCTGCATTTCTCCAAAGATCTTAGAGCTGTGTGGCATTTGGTAAGAGTTAGCTGCTTGGAGCTGAGCTTCATACTTTCCATAAGACTGTGTGTAGTTTACATGTCTGTATACTAAATAACTTGGTTATCTACTGTGATTTATTTTGAGTTTAAGCTCATTTTATGGTGTAATTAGGGTGGGTTAGGAACAAAAAAGAGGCAGTGCGAAGGGAAAAAGAAAAAGTGGTGAGGCAGGAAACTTCAGGAGAAAGGTGATGCGGCAATAGCAGGAAAGAATCCTTCCTTAAAAAAGAAAACCTGTTTATTACCAATGGAAAGTCAAAGGTGCCTGGAGCTGATAATGTAACAGAAAGAAAACCACAGTGCCTTTGAATTTTTTGCTACGAAGGAGGATACAGTACTTTCATCACAGGACATGGACAAAGAAGAAGGAAGCAAAAGGAAGGTGAAGCAATTTTCTGTCAGGATTGCTTGGCTTGATTCTATTTAGTGTCTTAAAACACACACTAAATACACTAATTGCACTGTTACAAGTTTTCTTATAAACAACAAAAATCAAGAGGCAAGTTTCTGTGATATGTTTCTTCCACATCAGCAATTTGGGAAGGTTATAGAGGAAACAGGCATTTAAGAATTAATAAACAAAGTGGTTTATAAAATATATTAAAGCAGGTGTAAGTTCCAAGCCAGTTTAACTTTATTTATAAACGTTAATTTTATTTTTTTTTTTTACTCCCAAATTTGCCAGTTAGTTTCTACATCCTGGTCTTTCAGTCTTATCCAAGTAAGAATATTTTGTCCTAAAATTTCTCTGCATACTCTTATGCCATGCAATAGAAGTCCTCAGCACTGTGTTATAAATGTACTGAAAAGTTGCACCACAGCCTTCACAGCGCTTCAAGTATATGGGTTTGAAAAACACAAAATTATGGCTTGGGCCATAGAAGGCTCCCAGCTGGGGACAGGTACCATGCTGGGAAGGTCCTTCTGTGAGCAGCATGTACGTGAGCCACTCTGGCCTTAGAAGCTGCTTAGTTCTAGCAACAGAGATCGTTACTGCGCGTGAAAGCATACAACAAGGTAGATACATCTCAGAAAAATCTGTGGTGTAAGCTATTTGATTTTATACTGAAGCAGAGCAAAGAGTTGTTTTCAAAGCTGACAGCTGGTATTCAGCACACGGTTGGAAACTACCAACATAGCACAGCAGAGCCTGAGTGAAATGTCTGCTGTCTCTCAGCTGATAGCAGTGCCTGTCTGCCTGAGCTTTTTTTCATCTGCTTCTCTGCAGCTTAGTAAAGTGCTGCAGATAGCGTAAGTTAAAGCAATTTGATATTTCGTAGAGCAGATGAGAACTGAGATGGGCAGACTCTGCTAGGAGGCCACATGCTGGGGGTGCTGCTCACCTCAGCTGTTTGTCACCAGTGGTTCTCTGAGGCTCATGTCCCTGCTTATTGCAGAACGTGACTAGCTCCATCTGAAGTGTCAGAGGAAGCTTGCCCACAAAGGGCTGATCAGGCTTTGTATGACTGCGGGCCTAAATCAAGATTGAATATGCAAATTCTGCCTTTGATATTTTACCACAAGGAGGTGACTCCCAGGCTGATGTATGGAAAAATAAGAGTCACTTTTTGTAGCAAAATACAAAAGTACACAAATGTGCATTCAGGGAGACATCCTGCTGAGAAACTAAGTGCAAGTAATAACATACAGGAAAATGTTTATGTGTATGAAGGAGCAGAGTTGTGTATTTTCAAGACTGAAGCTTACAGTTACATTTGTTATGCAGTCAAAATCATGCTTTTTTACTGGCATTCTTTCTAATTGTAGAAAATTTACTGTTTTGTTAGATTCTAATAGTGTATATGAAAGCTCAAAGTGGTACTTTGAGCATTTGCCAGTTTATATTAAGAGAAGTAACTGCAGTCTTTCATTCTGTTTTTCATTCCCCTTTCTCAATTTCATTTTTTCTCCATTTATCTTTCTGGGGAAAACCATGGTAGATTTTGTATTTATGTACTAAGTGTTGTTCAGCATCGAGCATAACATCCCAGCCGCAAGAGTTCATACTATTTAATGCCAGAGAAGAGGAATAAGTCAGGGATGGTTCTAGCTGTTGTGACACTGAAACCCAAAAGATAGAAACATTTAATGTATAGGATGTTTGTAATAGATACTAATATTCGGTATGTAAATTTGGTAATTTTGTTTATAAATGTACTTTAAGTTAGTTGAGAGAGATAAGTGGTAATAGGAAGCATGTCATAAAACTGTCTGTTCTTGTATTCTTAGTTTTATAATTTATTCCAATAATCTGCTAGCTGTAGTTTGGTTGCAGAGCTGCAAGTTTCAGCCATTTAAGAAATTATGACAGCCTTAACAATTTTACACTATTCACTTTCAATCTGAAAAAAAAAAAAAATTCCAAAGACACAGAAAATTGCAGGTAAACACTTAAAACACCTGTACCAGATTTTAAGTGGTATAAAGTGCTGTAATTTTACTAACTTCAGAATTAATTCTAATGCATCTCTTCACTCTGAATCTTCAATAATTTATGACAGATAGCAGGGGAAATTGCTGTCAGGTTCCACAAACCTGAAAGAAAATGCAAAAACTGTAGGGGGGTGGGGAGGGAATCGAATGTTTACAATAATTGATGTTTGACATCCTGTTCATGAGTAAAAAATGCTTATTGGTGCAGTTTATATAATGGAAAAAACGTTTTATTTTAAAACTCAGAAGGACTTCAGAAACTGCTTAAGGAGACACTGAACACTATGGTGAATCTTCTAGGGAGAAGAAATTCTTTGATGTTTGGTCTTTCAGTAGTGGTTTCTTTCGTGATTTATCTGCTGTTCCAATGTAATTTCTGATACACCTTATTGAAAAAGTTATGGTTCTAAATCCTATCGCTGAAGCAAATAATTGGCATGAACACCATTCTTAAACTTTGCTTTCTGTTCCCTCAGATTCAAATAAGTGACACATGTGATGCTGATTGCTACCTTCCAAAGACATAAATGCTGGATAGTTATTGGACTTAGAGCATGTGTATTTGTAGCATTAATATCTTTTGTGTGAATCTTTCTACACTGAAGGCAGGGTGGATAAGAAGGAGTTTTCTCACATTAACCAGCGATGCTGTGTGGTAGAAGATGCTATGTGTACAAGACTCAGTAAACAAAGCAGGGACATAAAAAGGTCAGTGAAATATGCAGAACTTTCAGACTCGAAAGAGAACTGCATCAATAAAAATAAAGATTTTTGCTTTCATAGAAGAAAAAAATACGGGTGAAAACACCAAAATTAGGTATGTTGTAAACACAAGATTTTGTATCTCCATATGAAGAGCTCTTCATTCAGTTTAGTCATTTTTATAGTCAGTGGCCAAACAATATAGTGCCTGGAGCCTTTAGAGCGATTTGATTTTTACTAGGAAGGATTAGGTCTCATAGTCAACATAGGAAAGAAAGAAGCAAGTAGGTTAGTGCATTTGTAAATTGTAATCTGGATTATGTAGAAACTCCAGTGAGGTAATAAGTATGTTCTTAAAGACACTTGGAAGTGAATCTATTGTACTCATAGTAAATTCTTGCAAACTGTAGAAATATATATAAAAAAAATGTCAGAAGAATAAAAAAAAAAAAAAGGACTTTGCAGATAAGGCGGTTATTTTGGATGCTGTGATAATAAAAGATGATCTGCAGGAGATGAGTAATGGCAGTGCAGTAATGAGTTCTGAAAGGGAGAGAATGGCAAAAAGACGTGTTAACTTACAATTGCCACAGATGTAGGACTTTTAATTGGAACTGCATTCGCTGCTCTTAAGGACAATGAGTAAAGGTTTAGTTCTGGGTTTTATGAAGACATCAGATGGGATGCCTCAACAGTTTTATTTTGAATATCATCCCTGCAGTTTTGTGCAATTCATAGCATTCTGTCTTTTCTTTCTTGATCTTTTCGAGTTCATGTCACTTCTTTTAGAGAATAGAACAACTGAAGGAGACAGGCTCCTGGTGTAATGAAACTATCATTTACAAAGATATAAACACTGAAAGGATGTAAGATAACACATAATATTTAGGTACTTTTGCCATGTGATTTCTTTCTCCAACACCCCCCACCACCCCCTCCCCCAGTGGAAATACTTAACTGAAACCTATACAGTAAGTAAAGGTTACTTCATTTTATTTTTTTTTTTAAGGGAAAATATATTTTTCTTTTTGAAAAGGGCTGTGCTTTCAGTACCTCTTTTAGAAGGCTCATTCACAGGCAAGCACACAAGCATGTGCTTTTTTCTGAATACAGATACTGTAGTAGTTCTGTTAGAATATGAACTCTGCATTGCTTGCATTAGAGATACCTGTAATGCTGCTTTTTTATTGCGCAGATTTCAAAGCCGAACAAATAAAACTTAGCCTGATGTTAGTCTACAGTAAGTCTATAGTAAAGGAATAGAGTTCTGAAACTGTAATCTGTAAATTTGATCTGCTCATTGTCAAAAATGTCTTGAAACTTCTAATTTGGCTTGAGTGTCAGTGAGAGATCTGGATGGGAATCCCAGTAAGAATTGCTTTCCTTATTTCTGGTGGCTAACATTTTATAGATTTTTAGAGGAAACCAGCAGAGAGACAATTCCACAGTCCTTCCAGTAAAAAAATAAAGATATAACCTTCTTGTCTGGAGAGGGAGAAAAATAAAATTTCTGCAAACTGAAATATGTATCCCAGAGGAGTGAAAGCATTATATTAACTGTGTATGCTAATGCAACACTATCAGTACAGTGATCGCTAGCATTATTGAAGTACATTCCACATTTTGGGCTTATCTAAACTTGTTAATTAAATACTGCATTTTATATTTGAAAAAAAGTATGTTTCCTGTGTGTTAAGGGCTAACAGGAGTGACACTCTGCTTATCTTCTATTCATCAACAGTTTGTCTTCAACCAGATTGTAATGGAAGCTTCTGCTTTTTCCTTAATTCTTCGAAAGGGGGCTTTAAAAATAGAATCTGTAGCTAAAGCAATTGTTAAAAGTAGTGAGGAACACCTGAAGAAATTTTGTAAAATGTAGCATTTTAAAGTAGTTCATATTTGTCATCATAATTGTGAATGCTAGATCTTTAACTTTTCTTGATAGCTGCAGAGACTTGGGCTAGTAACAGTACATTTTGCTTTCATAATTAGCTTCTATAGATGGGCAGACTGTTTCCACTTGAACAGAATCCCAATGACATCCAGTAGTACACAACCCCGGTCCCTGTGTGTGCCATTTGGAAGCAGGAGCTCTCAGAGATTGGTATCTGGTGAAGCATGTTGAAACCTAGTTGCCTCTAAGCACAGGATTTTAACCAGATGATTTAAAACTGAAACAAGATATTAATATTGATAAAAACGAGGACAGAGAAATTGTAAGTTAAAAAAAAAAAAAAAAGAAAAAAAAAAAGAAAAAAAATTATCTACTAGTAAGATTCTGAAAGCGGCTTCTTCCAGAGCATTGGTCCAGAGATGAGCACTGTGCCCTTGCTGCAGCTGAAGAGGATCCAAAATTGTATTTGCTCTGTATTACAATGAAAACAAAAACCTTTGCATGTTGTTTGTAAAATGCCACAACCCTTCTCCATTTTCATTTTAGTCTGATGATAAGGGCAAATCTGTAGCTCAGGAGTATTATAACTTGAGCAAGTTCATGGCAATGTCCTACTTGATTAAGATAAGAATTACTTACTTCACCAACCCACCTAAAATGTCAGAGGTACTTCAGTTGATACTGCCTAAGTAACTAAACATAACTGACATCGGTAATGATGATTAGAGATTGGTAATGATGTTTAACAGCAACTGCTTCCTGCTTCTGCGTTTGAAAATGCATCTACACTGCTTCTTTATGGTGTCATTTGGAGTCATCAGGTTATTTAGCTCTAACTCTGATATTTCAGGACCCACTGTGTAAACCTCACCTGAGCAGGAAGAGTAACGACAAAAGCCTTCCCCAGACACATGACTGTCATCATCTGACCTTAAGAAAAGAAAGGACTATGACCTGTCATTTTGTAGCAGGATGTGTATACGATGTATGTTTTCCAAGCTAGTTGCAGGGAACACCATTGCATGAAACCTGTGATAGTGGAAATGCTTGCTGGGTACCACTGAGGATATTTTCCATGAATGGAGTTCCTATCTCTGTATCTTAATGAAGTTACCCTGCCAACACTGAAATATGTTCCCAACTGCTCTTAAGTGACCATTAATATGCCTTGTTTGTTGAAGTCAGTGGAGATATAGAAAAGAATGAAGTTACTCATGTATAGAAGGGTTTGCATATCAAAACTTTAAGAGAAGTGTTGTTTTTTTTCTGCAGAAATAGTTGTCCGAACTTGACACCTACTGAAGAAGGTTTCTGAAGTCTGACAAAGAATCAGCCACAAAGATAAGAAATTATCATTGACATGTTTTCAGGAGAGAGAGGAAAGCATAATGTAAACATATTTTTCATAAGTAGAGCACTGTCCACACTCAGATTCTAACTATACCAAAATATAGATGAATAGCAATATTTCCCTGGTATAGGTGTACTTTAAAAGAAAGGAAAAAGTGATTATGCAAAGTCTGGTGAAGGGTTTTTGGTACTCAAGTACCAGAGTAAAAATCTGATCTAGTCACAGTAATTAGTGGCATAAGCATTTTGTTTAGGCAAAAGCAAATTACTCCAGAGGTGTTACTAGCCTTAGTGTAATTTTAAAAGAAACCCCATAAACACCACAGTTGCCTAGTAATAATTTTAGAACTATAAAGCCAACTTCTCATAAAAGTTTAAGTATCAGTCCAGTTTCTCTGATGCTATAATGTGCCTTCATGCCAAACTGCTAGTAGCTACCAGATGGATACGTGCAGCTGTTTTCTCTGTAGGTAGCAGCCTTCAGCAGAGATGTATTTCAGGTCCTTGAAGGTGCTTGTTTCATGACCACACTATGTAAATATAAAGTGCAGAAGGCAGAACTCTAAGAAGAAGGTACCATCACAACCTTACAGAGTTCAAGAGTAAACTTTGGAAGTCATTGCTCCATCATTTTAAACCATTGTTTAATTATTTCATTAATTCAATTAATTGAAATTATATTGAATTGATTTCTTAATTATTTTTTAAATTCAATTTAGTGAAAAAAATATGGTGTGGAAAAAGCATAACTAATTATTAGTGAATGCCTAGTACTGTAGTTAAGATTCTGTCTTTGAGTAGAGTACACTGTATTTCTTAATATAAGTTTTAATCTCAAGGAAATTACCACCCATATTGACATAGGATAGAGTTGTTCTTGTTATTTCTTAGATCTGTCATTTTTATAACTGGGTAACTTTAATGGAATTCCACATATTTGATGTAAACTGATACATGTGTATGTCAGCCATCTTCCTAAAATGTTTGAAGCATCACAAACATCAGTCTTGAAATATCAGGGACAGATTAATGTGTAAAGTATGAATCTTCGCAGTCCTTTCTAATGTAGGCTTTAATTTCATTTAATTCATAATTATTCTTTATATTATAAACTACTGAGTGGAAAAGCACAACTTAGGGAAAGTTTTAAAAATTTTTTTTATGAATCATGTATTCTGTGTACTCACATAATTCCGTATGTACCTTCAGCAGTAAAAATACTTGCTGTTTTCTAACCTCTTCTAGGTGTTGCACTAAGCCATTGCTTTTGTGCACAAGAAAGTTACATTTTAAAAAGGCTACCTGTGCTTGAATGGAAGTAACGTATTTCCCTTATTCACAGTTTAAATAAACACTTAGGATCCACATCCTTAGAGAACTAAATCTTGATTTTTAAATTCTATTTGGGAGCCAAACCCCTATAAGGATCTGAACAATGGAAAACAATATCAGTAGGACTTACCATTTTAAGTGCTTCTTTTCGTTTATCTATAAATAAATATAAATTTTCTATATTTTATATAAATAATATAAATTTATGTTAAAATTTACTGGAAGA